TATAATATGTTACTACTTGTTCAGTAGCGGATGTTAATCCATGGTAACGATGATTGGTTCCATTCTAGTTTGCACGCGTGCTTGTCGCGTGCTTGTCGCGTGCTTGTCGCGTGCTTGTCTTTTAGTCTAGTTGCCTGTGTGCTTCTCTATATGATGTATGTACATATATGCTGTTCGTGTGTACCCTTTATGGCCGATATTGATTGATTTGTGTACCAGCCTACACCGAGTACCCTGTTTCGTGCCCTATAACTTGACTTTAAGGATTGGACCTTCATCAGCCAATTTCTAAGGTCTAGGGTTTTAGGGTTTATAACCCCTAAAAAATGGCCACTTTCCATCTCTACAGTTGGTATGACCATGTACCAACAGTTGCTATGTCCATGCAGTGACAGTTTGGATGTTCATGTAGTGACGTTTGCGAGTTCGTGGGGCAGCTATGAGTGGCATATCGAGCACCAATCCACCTGTACGGTTGTCACGTTTGGCCCTTTCGACCAATGCAAATTGAGTATTCTATATCCCACATGTCATCGATGGCTACACGGTCCTTGCCAAACCTATGACCGCTTAAAACCTAAACCCCAAACCCTGCCAAACTAATAACCGCTTAAACCCCAAACCCTGAACCCTGCCGAACTAATAACCGCTTAAACTCTAACCCCCAAACCCTGCCAAACTAATAAACCGCTTAAACTCTAACTCCCAAACCTCGCCAAACCAACAACCATTAACTTCACTGCAGTTGTCATGCCTGGCCCCATGACCATTGAGGATTCTGTGGCGCGGCTGTCCGATGCAGAGGTGCACCTGGGCGATCGGCTGAAGGCTTTTGATAAGGTCACAAGCCACATCAGCAACAGTGCTAACAGAATATCCAGCTACAATGTGAGTAGGAATAGGACATGTTTTCTTATATGCATTGTGATTGGTTGTAGGTACGTTCGGGTATATCTGATTCGGTTGTGGGGGTACGTTCGGGTATATCTGATTGATTAGAGACAATGTGAGTAGTGATACGACCCCTTTCCGTCCCAGGCAGTGGGCCCGCATTGATCGGGTTAGGCGGTTGGTACTTACTCAAATATTGGTTGTGCTCGTGGAATTGCGTTGGGTTCATATGTATAGTGCTCACACTGCACAAGTTTGTGTCCGTTGTTGCGTCTACTCACTCTTGTTTTTCGACTGTTGCAACGGTATCACCTTCCCTTCATCAACATCACTACACATCAACGCGGGTATTTGCCTTGGCGACCTCTGATAGCTCAGCTACTCCATCATCGACCACGTGTACCGTATCCTGTAAGTCAAGTTCTGGCTCAGATATCTGAGTGTCACACGAGCAGAATGCAGTCATGTGTTAATGCGTGTATGTGATAGTCATATGTGATGATGGCTTGCTCTCATGGTCATGATGGTATATGATTTGGCTCTGTATATATTTATATATATATATATGTATATATATATATATATATACACACACACACACACACACACGACACACACACACACACACACACACACACACACACACACA